CAGAAACACGTCACTATGGCTGTAAGACGCATCCCATGTTCATCCTTCATGTACCAGGAAAGGATTCTCAAGATGCAGTACTCCATCAGCTCCATAGGACTGAGGCCTGCAGTCCTGCAGCTCCTCCACTCTTGCATCTCAGTCTTCTTAAACAGGACTGACATGGACTTTCCCCCAGTCTTTGGGACACTTCTCCCAATTACCAACCTAGGCTTCATATTTTTGTGTTTGAGTTTGGACAATAATTTTTTGTCTCCCCATCAGGCCTCCTGACCCTTACCTTACGTACTCTTTGTTTTTATGCCTTTCTCCTAGCTTCCAGGAGGTGATCCTTGTGTACTAACCAGCTTCCTTTGGTTCCTCTTTCTTCCAGGGTCTTATGATAATCTACCAACATGTTCCTTGAAAAGGCCATTTTCAGCTTCAGTGAGATTGCTGTAACCACTTTGCTGCCTTTAGGATATTCAGCACTACCATCTCATGGACACTGATGCCAATGCTGCCTTTCACATTCACATTCAACATAACACCATCCTTTTCAGTGAGGATAGGGTCCAATACAGCACCTCTCTTCAGAGCTTCTCTGTCATTTAGGGAAGTAAACTCCACAGAAAACAAACAAGGTTTGCTTATACCCTGCTGAGTTGTTCCTCCTGCAGATACCATGATGGCAGGAGGTTTTGATCTTGCTGCACAATGGCTAGTGACTGTTAGTTTAGAGACAGAGGGAGTAGAAAGAACCATGTGGCATGTCTGTAAGGAAGAGAAGCCTTTGGTGTATGGCTGCAGATTGTAGTGCTGTGAGGAGTTGGTTCTATTCCTATTAAGGGAGTTGCCAACCATTCCTCCTCCAGAGACTCCCAAGCCATGCCCTGTCCACTGACTGAACACAATTGCTCCTTCACTCTCTGTTCCTATCCTGTTGATTGTGATGTTGTTGTATGGTGTAATCCTTAGGTCAGTCATACCAACACTTGAAGGAAGTTATCTTGGCATAGTAGACATGTCAAAAATGAGGAAATGAAATTGCAGAGGTGAGGGAGACAAAACCACAACCTGCACCATTAGGAAGGATTATTTGCATTTGAGGTGAGTCTCTTGGAAAATTACTGCCTAAGTGGAGCGATTATGGGCCTGAGGCAATGGTGGAACAGTATAAAAGTTTATTCACCTCCTCATTCTCTCATCCACTCCTTGCTTCCATCTCTCTGCAAACGTGGTGAGTGCAAATCCCTTCCTCCATTCTCTGGGATTTCTCTATGCATGCAAGTGCCTTCATCCTAGGCAGCGCATAGGCAGGCAGCTGTTGCACATTAGTCAGTACCGTTGGTATCAAAGAAAAGTAAAAAAACATGAGGTTCTTTACACAGCATTCATTTCCTCAGCCAGCACAGTGCCTTTCTCCTGATGGAATTCCTCCTGTTCCTCTCACACTTCTGTGTCCTCCTGACCCTCTGTCCCAACAGGTGCCCCTCCAGACACAAGCCATGTCCTGCTACGACCAGTGCGTGCCACGCCTGCCCTGCCAGCCGTGCGGCCCCACCCCTCTAGGCAGCAGCTGCAACGAGCCCTGCGTCAGGCAGTGCCAGGACTCCAACATCTTCATCCAGCCCTCTCCCGTCGTGGTGACCCTGCCCGGACCCATCCTCAGCTCCTTCCCGCAGAACACCGCCGTGGGATCCTCCACCTCCGCTGCCGTTGGCAGCATCCTCAGCTCTGAGGGTGTGCCCATCTCCTCTGGAGGCTTTGGCCTCTCTGGCTTTGGCAGCCGCTTCAGTGGCAGACGGTACTTCCCCTGCTAAAGCTGCTGATGATGATCCTGGAAAAAGACCCCAGGGACCCAGGAGTTGGAAGCAGAACTGAGACAGAGAATTGGCATTCAGCCTGCACTCTCAGAAGACATGGTCCATTTCTGCCTTTCCGCCTCCCTTTTTTCTACCCTGTATCATTGCTGCTCACCATGTGCTCCCCTGGACAGTCAGTCCCACAAAATCAGCATAGGGAGGATCTGATCTGATGGCCTTCTGTGGAAAGGGCAGATGGACAGCTGGCAACATGCCCACCATGGTCATGCAGTGCAGACTATCAACTGTCCCTAATGCTTTCTGTACCAGAGCCTTCCCTCCCAGTGATCTCATTTCCCTCTTTTGCCTCATTAAATTTTTGCTGCATCCCAGCCTTTGCCTCTGTGTTATCCTTCCTTGGTGGGTACTCCAGGTTCCAGCTGCCAGGAGGAAAGCAGTTGCTCTGTCAATGTCAGTGGGTGTGCAGGTCATGCCAGAACCATTCCACTTTTCCAAAGGGTGGGGAGAGTGAGATATTGTGCTGTGGGTCCCCTTGGGAAAGCACTGCCACTCCCATATGTGGATGTTGTTCAACAATCCCACACTGTCTCTGGCTTTCAGTCCCATCTTTGCTGTCTCTCTGTTCTGATGTGTCCTCTCAGACACAATGTACATTTTGCCTGGTCACTGATGGCCTTGATTAAACAGTCAGTTCTGCTGGATGCACTAGAGGTTTGCAGACCCACATTCACTTGGGGAGGGGAGGAAATGGAATTTGTCTTCCTCCAGATGCTGTTCTGCTTTTTGGGCACACATGGTTTGGTTTTCTTGTCAAATAACTTGGAAGTGTTCATGAATTCTCTTGAATTCACAACTACACATAACCCTCATTCAGGGGCAACCTTGTCACTATCCCCATGTTTGGAGAGCAGTACATGCTATTTAACATTTAGGGCTTGTCAGTATACACTGCCAGCAAGGGAGGAGCTGCTTTTCCTTCTGTTTGTCTATTCTTCAAGAAAAAAGATGTCTAGATAAGTCAATTCAAGTTAACACTGGCTAGCACGGTCTCACATGGCAAAAACTTTTTCAAGTATGTCAACAGTAAGAATAAGCTGAAGGAAAACACTGTACAGATACTTGTTGCATACAGTCACCTAAAAAGTAAGGATGAGGAAAAGACAGAGGCATTTAATGCTTGTTTTATTGTCTCAGTTTTTAATAGCAGTGACAGACCCTGGGCTGCCCAGTCCTCAGAGTTAGAGCACCATAATTGGAGGAGCAATGACTTCCCATCTATGCTCACCAGATTTGCAAGGAAGCAGTCACATCAGCTCAACATTTGTAAGCCAATGGATCCTGATATGCTTTACCCTAGAGTACTGAAGGAATTAGCAGATGTTACAGCTGAAACCCTCTCAACAATTTATCAAAGGTTGTAGGAATCTCGGAGGTGTCTCATGACAGGAAGCCAATGCCATAACCCAAGAAAAGATGCAGACCTGTAAAAGACCCAAGAAAATGCAGACCTGTCACTCTAACCTCAGGCTCTAGAAGAGTCAGAGAAAAGATTATCCTGAGGGTTACTGAATGACAGTTAAAGAACAAAGTTATTATCAAACACAGTCAATATGGGTTCACGAAGGGAAACTCCTGCCTTGATAATTCAATCTTAATTGATCTGCTTGGTGAATGAAGGGAAGACAGTGGAAGTAACCCTCCTGGACTGCAGTGCAGCCATTGATACTGTCCCTCATAGTTTCCTTCTGAAAAAAATGTCCAACTCTAAAACAAACAAGTTCAAATGATTGTGCACTGGATGATGGACTGGTCTGACAGCAGAGCTCAAAATATCATAGTGAATGGGGCTATATCTGGCTTGTGGTCAGTCACTAGCAGTTATTCCCCAGGCCTCAATTCTAGGGCCAGTCCCATTGAAAATTTTTATTAGCAGTCTAGGTGCAGGACTAGAATGCATACTCAGCAAATTTCCGATTATATTAAACTGGGAGGTGTTCTGGACTCCCTGGAGGGATCACAAAATCAAACAGAATCACAGAATGGCCTAGGTTGGAAGGGACCCCAAGGATCATGAATCTCCAAGCCCCTATGACAGGCAGGGCCACCAATCTCCACATTTAATACCAGACCAGGCTGCCCAGGGCCCCATACAACCTGGTCTTGAACACCTCCAGGGATGGGGCATCCACAGCCTCTCTGACAACCTGTTCCAGCACCTCACCACTCTCACTGTAAAGAACTTTCTCCTGACATCCAACCTAAATCTTCCCTCCTTCAACTTCAAACCATTTCTCCTTGTCCTGCTGTTATCTACCCTTTCAAAGAGCTGACTCCCCTCCTGATTATACGCCCCCTTTAGGTACCAAAAGGCTGCAATGAGGTCACCCCACAGTCTTCTCTTCTCCAGGCTGAATAAGCTTAGCTCCCTCGGCCTGTCTTTGTAGGGGAGATGCTCCAGCCCTCTGCATCAATCTTCGTGGCCCTCCTCTGCACCCTCTCCAACTCTCCATCATTCTTGTACTGGGGGTTCCAGACCTGAACACAGTACTGCAGATGGGGCCTCACAAGAGCACAGTAGAGGGGGACCTCCCTATCCCTGCTGGCCACCCTCTTCTGATGGAGCCCAGGATATCATTTGCTTTTCGAGCTGCAAGAGCACACTGCTGTCTCATGTTAAGTTTTTCATCCATCAGGACCCCCAGGTCCTTCTCCACAGGGCTGCTCTCAAGGAGTGCTCCTCCCAGTCTGTATCAATGCCTGGGATTCCTCTGGCCCAAGTGCAAAATGTTGCACTATGCTGAGTTGAAGCTCTTTAAATTCACCTGGGCCCACCTTTCAAGTCTGTGGAGGTCCCTCTGAATGGCATCCCTTCCTTCCACCGTGTCAACCACACCACTCAGCTTGGTGTCATCAGCAAACTTGCTGAGGGCACACTCAATTCCATCATCGATGTCATTAATAAAGATGTTAAAGAGCACTGGTCCCAAAGCAGACTCTGGGGGACGCCGCTCATTATCAGCCTCCACCTAGACATAGAACCATTAATCACTACCCTCTGCCTGCGGCCTTTCAACCAATTCCTTATCCATCAAATCCACATCCCTCCAATTTGGAGATAAGGATGTGGTGGGAGACCATGTCAAAAGCCTTGCTCAAGTACCAGTAAATGACATCGGTTGCCTTGCCTTTGTCCACCAATGCCATCACTCCATCATAGAAGGCCACCAGATTGGTCAGGCACGGCTTTCCCCTCACAAAGGCATGTTGGTTGTCTCGGATCACTCGCTCATTTCTCATGTGATCAAGCATGTCGTCTAGGAGGATCTGTTCAATGATTCCCCAGGTACAGAGATGAGAGTCACCAGCCAGTAGTTTCCCAGGTCCTCCTTGTTCCCTTTCTTATAAATGGGAGTGACATGACCCTTTTACCCATTCACCTGGCACCTCAAGTGACAGCCACGACTTTTCAAATATGATGGAGAGCAGCTCAGCAACCACCTCAGCCAGCTCCTTCAGAACCCTGGGATGCATGCCATCTGGCCCCATGGACTTGTACGCATTCAGTCACATGAGGTGGTCTCAGACTTGCTTGGACCCCCTTACAGTGGGGGAAAATTTACTCCCCAAGTCCCCACCTACAGATTTAGGGATGCAGGGCTCAGAGATATGAAAAATACGAGAATCCTGGCTGCCAATGAAGACTGAGGCAAAGAACTCATTCAGTACCTCAGCCTTCACTTCATCTGTCGAAGCCAGTTCTCCTTTTACATTTACCACAGGAGGTACACTCGCTTAGGCCTGTCTCTTCTGGCCAACGTACCTGTAGAATGTCTTCATATTGTTTTTAACATCCCCCACCATGTTCAGTTCTGCCTATGCCTTGGCTTTCCTGATCCCACATCTGCAAGTCCAGACTGCATCCCTGTATTCATTCTAGATGACAGACCTTTGTTTCCAAAGCTTGTATGCACCTTTCTTTGTCCTGAAAGATAAGATGGATAAGAGGCCTTACAAAAGAATCTAGATATATTAGAGAATTGGGTAATCATCAATGGCATGAAATTCAATAAAGGTTGATGCTGGATCCTGCACATGGAACAGAGCAGTGACAGACAAAGGTACAGACTGAGAGATGAGTGACTAGAGAGCAGCTCAGCAGAAAGGGATCTGGCCATGATGCTCAGCAGTAGGTACAGCATAAGCTGGCAGTATGCCTTGGCAGCCAATACACCAAGCATCATTTTGAAATGCATTCAACCACAGGTGTCCAACCTTTTGGCTTTCCTGGTCCACACTGAGTGAAGAGGAATTTTCTGGGGCTACATGTATATATAATATAGTTAACATAGATAAGTAACAAAATATTTTTTAAAAAATTGTTAAAATATAAAGAAAGAAAGCAACAAAAACAAAAGAACTACCAAGATTTCAGTACCCCATTTGCAGCCTCATGCTATGATGTTCTTGGCCTGTTTTTACCAGGAAACTTTGCCATGGAGCTTACTCAGGGTGCTCGTCAGAGATTTTTGATGAAATTTTACTCTTTCCGTACTTTGTCCTTGGAAATAGTTCACAAATATACATACTTCAAATACACATGCTTCTGAAAAGCAATGATGAGAATAAGATGTGATTGAGAAGTGAGTGATATTTTTTTCTGAAAAACAGCTCTTACAAAACCCTAGCAAAGAGATATGATCATTTTTTTTAGTTGAATGTCTGATTGTAACTCTATAATTTCCATTTGAAAACTCACAGGTAATTTATTCATGTCAACTGAAAAGAGTCGCAAATATAACCAGAATTTGATGATATTTATTTTTCAGTCTTGAAACTTGTTCTCAAACTCCTTTATCAAAATGGAAAGCAAGGTTGCATATTTTTCATTGTTCACAGGACTGTGTTTAGCTACTGCATCAAAATGCATAAAATTATTTGCCTTATCTTGCGTTAGCTCTGCACTCTGCCCTCCTCATGTCACAGTTTCAATCCAGACAGTGCTGACAGACTATGAGAATAACACAAAGCTACAGCAGGAAGGCTCAGACTGGACATTAGAAAAAATATTTTTAATGACAGGGTGGTCAAACACTGGAACGGGCTTTCTAGAGAGGTTGTTGATGCCCCAGGCTTGTCAGCATTCAAGAAGCATTTGGAGAATGCCCTCAGTAAAATGCTTTAACTTTTGGATAGCCCTGAAGTGGTCAAGTAGTTGGGCTGGATGATTGCTGAATGTCCCATCCAAATGACCTATTTTATTCTAAATATGAGAACAAGAAGGGGGCAAGGCAAGGGTCATTGTTGCCCAAGGTGAGTTTTGCAGAAGTCAAGCATGCTCTGTCATTGAATGACCTGGGACCCTGAAGAAAGGTTCCTGTCTTTTCTCCCAGTTGCTATGAGAAGGGAGCAGACGGTTTTGAAGAAATGGCTGATTCAGGTTCTGCTTAAGATTCTGCACTTAGGACAGGCATACAAGTAATCTATCAATGATTCCCTCTTCTAGTATATCTTCTTCCCCTAAAGGAAATTAGCAGACTGAAAGCTAGTTCCTTTTCCTAATCCATATGAGTCTCTTCATTCAAAGTCAGTCCTACAAGGAGAGAACACTTGAAGAACTGTGAGTTGTAAGCATACATTTTCTGTGGTGGATAGAAGTAGAGACAGAATGAAGAAAACACAGAGAAAAAAGAGAACATTTTTAGCTCTACAGGAAATAGTTACCAAAATGTCATTTAGAGGCAGACTCTAAATGACACTTGCTTTTATTGAAGAAAATTGCCAAGATTCCAGAGGCCCATCTGTAGCCTCATGCTGTGATGTTTTGGGCCTGTCTTTACCAGGAAATTTTGCCATGGAGCTATACACAAACCTATTAATGATTATGATATACACTGAGCACTCCAATGTGCAGCAAACTCTTTTCAGGTGTGTGTTCTTGCAGGGAGGACTGCAAAGAGAACCAGAGACCATGCTGCAGTGTAAAACAGACCTCTCTTGAATTGTTCAGCTTTCCCTCCCTCGCTGCTGGCTTTTATTCAGGCAGCTGTCACCTAATATCCCCAGGTCCTTTTCAGCCACCCTGCCTCAAGCCTATAGCATTGCAAGGGAATTAGCAAACAAAGTGCAAGACCTGGCACTTGGTCCTGTTGAAGCTCACTCCATTGACTTCAGACCATCGACCCAACCTATCCAGATCCCTCTGTAGGGCCTTCCTACTCTCAGGCAGATCAACACTTCCTCTCAACTGCAAACTTAGGTACAAACTTAAACTTAGGGTACACTCAGTCCTCTCATCCAGATAATCAAGTAAGGTACTAAACAGAGTTGGCTCTTACACTAATCCCTGGAGAACACTAGTAGTGACAGCAGTGACCAGTTGCCAGCTGGATTTAACTCCATTCTCCACTACTCTCTGGGCCTGGCCCTCCATCCAGTTCTTTACCCAGCAAATAGTGTACCTGTCCAAGCCATGAGCTGCAGCTTCTCTAGGAGAATACTGTGGGAAACAGTGCCAAAGTGTTTACTAAAGTCTAAGCAAATTACATTCACAGCCTTTCCCTCATCACCTAGTCTTAGAAAGAGATGAGGTTAGTCAAGCATAATGCATTTCCTCTACTTCCTCCATTCTTTGCTTTTTAGTATGTGGACTCATTAAGTGTTTATGTAGTTTTTCCTCATTAGATGCTGTAGTGCTATGCACATGTATTTTTTTTATTCTAAAGCAAAATCATACCTGAACTAGGACTATTTGCTAACACACTTAGAGCAGATTGGAGACTCGATGCTTTTTTTCCTCTAGTTCTTTAAACATGTACTGTGAAAACTGTGGAATATTTTTCAAATTTCTCTCAACACAACAAAAATTCTATGAATAGCTAATAATTATTTGTTAACCTATATTAAATATGGGCACAAGCCTGCAAATGCCATCTGATGAGAAAGAAAACAGCTCTTGAAATTGTGGGCATGCCCATGCTCCTTCCCTGATTTTATGTTTGTTAACATTAAAGGCTTCAGAATTT